TAGCACTGAAGATGTTACCTAGCCAGGTAATGAAACGTTTGCAACAAAACAGCCAAGCTCAGAGAACCCCAAGGACTCCAGAGTTCAATGAAACTTGTTCCTAACTAAGTATATATAGGATAGGTTGGGGAACATGTGACTCTCCAAAGGTTACTTGTATCATGTCTCATATTTTGAGCCATCCAGAGTCGCTTTGGAGTTGTGTGGTGCCAAAATCAAGTTAAATAAATAAATTGTCTTATTTGCTTAGGCTGCTGGGCATTTAGTTAAGAATATCCTGGTTAACCACAAGTTTTCAATCTCTGCAGATGCCAACCTTCCTCAAAATCTGGCCTGGGGATTTCTAACTGGAAAATCAAAACTAATAAGATTTAAAAACCTTGCTAAATTCTATATTTTTAAAACTAATCTAAACAGCTTATTGCTATATCTGATTCTTTTTACATTAAAAATATTTTAAGTTAAAATAGAAAAATAGAATACTATAAAGCAAATCACCAGCTTCCACTTTAACTTACATTTCAAAAACTGCATTGAGGGCCCCATAAGCTTTCTTTGCAAGATATTGAGACATCTAAAAACTAAGTCTTGTGAGGAATAGTTAAAGGAACTGGGTATGTTTAACCTGAAGAAGTAAAGATTGAGGAGAGATAAGATAGCAGTTTGCAGACATCTGAAAGATTGTCAAGGGAGTGAACATTTTCTCTTTAGCCCTGGAAGGTAGAAGCCAGATCAATAGGTTGAAAATACAGGGAGGGAAGTAGTTTCAGATTAGCTATTAGAAGGAATCTCTTGAGTTTAAGAGTTGTCAACCAGTGGAATGGGTTGTCACAAGGTATGTTCCTTTCATTAGAGATCTTCAAACAAAGTCTGGGCAGTCCACTATCCAAATGCTTTAGCAGATCATGCATTGAGCAGTGCATTGAACTAAATGACTTCTGAGGTCACTTTCCAGTCTGTGATTTAGGGTTAACCTGTCCTATCATCTTTACATATCATGTGGGATTTATACAGTACATTATTTTTGGCTTAGTGTTTTCTATGAATCAATAAAAACTCCTGTAATGAATTGTAGTTAGTATTATGTTATCAGGCATTAATCAAAACAAATGAAATTGAATATTAGTCTGTCGGTTATAAATAATATAAATATGTACATTAGGATCTTTTATTAACAGGAAGAGCAAATTGCTAGAAGACGGGCAGAAATTCTCACTGAACAAGCAAAAAGGAAATTGGAGGTAAGAAAGACACAATAAGAAAAAATAAATTTCATAAATCCTACTTTTAAACATTGTTTTGAACCCATTGTGTGGGAATTTGTAAAATGGCTCTCATTATTTGGACATTGTGCTGGAATTGAACAGACAAGAAATTGCTAAATGATCACAGATTATACTGTAATTATGCCACATTTTGCTCTAAATTGGCTGGGATGGAATAAAGTACTTAAATGTTTGGCTTTCAGAGAGTAATCATTGACTAGGAAGCCTTTGTGTTCATTGTGCTCATTGACATTAGCTGTCTCCTGCCCCTTCTCCCCCATCAACTGAAAATTCTTCAGTAAAGACAGTAAAGATGCCGTCTAGCATCACCATCATCTTAATATCAATATACTTCAAATGCAGTATTGTTATAGGGTTTTACACAGGAGTGTTCTTAAACTGTCTTCTGCTGACCACCAGCATTTCCCACATATCTTGAAGGTGGTCACAAGATTAAGAGAAGGATTTTATGGATTTTGGATCCATTCAGTTTCACATGCGGAACAAGTACATTAACCCTAAATGAAGAGGAAATGCTAGCAGATCTCTTCTCAGATACCACTTTGAAACAGCTAGAAAAAAATGTGTGAATGAAAGAACATAACTTTTAAATGAAAACTTTCTGAAGGCCTACTTCCTTTTCCTTCAAAATATAATTGTGAAAGTGAATTTTCAGCACTCACTATAACCCAAGACGGGCATGTTGTGCCAATTTTTTTATCTAATAAATCTCACTCCAGTCAGTGAAGAAGATTGCAATTATAGGCAAACTCATTAAGGCTGGTTTATTATCACTATTATTAAATATAAGGAAAAGTAAAGAACATTATTAAAGCATGTTTTATTTTAATATTCCTTTCATTTCCCTCTTCTTTTAAAGAAATAGTCATAAGTGTGTTTTATTTTATATATAAATACCCACCCACACAAACACACACGCATTTGGTGTTTTGTTGCTTGAAAAGTTTAACACTTTTCTGAGGCATGTCTATAAAAGATGGTGCTAAAATTTCAGGAGTCTGATTATGGCACTGAGAAAGGTTGAGTTTTGGTTCCACCTTCAGTACCATAATGTCATCCAGCCTGCAAAAGGGAAGCCTTTTGAAGGATCCAGTCCTAAGGTCTAATCCCTTTCCCCACTTCTGTCATCTATCACATATATTTATTTATCATTTATTTATTTATTTATTCGGCTTGTATGCCGCCCATCTCCCCCACGGGTGACTCTGGGC